CGATCCTTCGTACAAGTGATCGAGAGGCAAGTAGACTAACTATGAAACTGTATCACAACGAGCAGACCAAATGAATTGTGTTTCACATTTTGAATTCCACCAGAGATGGTGCCGAGAGCTTTTTCGCGTTGTAAATACATATTATATGTTTATTCTACGAGACAAGAATACCATATGCTATGTAAAAAAAACGTGAAAAATCTTTAGGGCGCCGCCCAACCATCCATTGAATCCTGGTTACGCCACTAATGGATCGGCCAGTTGGTTCAACTGTCGTCCGAAGCCATGACCACCAGCAACTGTGATTCCTTGTTTTGACCATGTCGCTGTTGAACATTTGTCGTATTGTGAGAATCTATCGTAGGCTTGAGGATCAGCTTCAACTATTTACAAATTCAAGTACTTGGAAAAAGAAATTTCGAATAAGTACTGATAATTACTTGATAAACTGAAGGCGAAAAACAAGAAATAAAGAAAAATACTTTTTTCAAACATTTATTTCAAAATTGCGTTCTTTGTTCGTTGTAAGCATGTTTTAAATAGCATATTTTTCTCATGCATCATCATTATTTATCTCTTCATCTACCGATAACAACACACACTTTGATCAAATATTTATTTTTCTTTCGGACCCAATGTACAAAAATTGAATCAAATTTAACGATGAAACTGTTGCAGCGTCTTCCGGACGACATTATTAAATTCATTTTTATAAGTTTTGGACGGCAAAACATAAACGACAAACGTCATCATCGATGGTAAAAACGAAACTAAATATCCGGATAAAAACAGCCACGAATTACTCGGTGATTTCATACATCCACTGATGAATGAGATGACGAGACGAGGTAATCCGAGGAAAACTAAAGTAAATGAAGCAATAAAATGATGTTTGTGTTCATTGAATTGTAATTTCAAATGTTCGACATATGTTAATCTTTGTTGAGCAACGGATCGATTTCGAGCGATTGCAATGATAATTATGATCGTTGAGAAAAAGTTAATTGTAAACGGCGCGAGAAAGTGAAAGAGAGTTATAAATGAATTGTAAATACTAGTTGAAGGTGAATACTGAGTGATACACCAGATTCGTTCTTCATCAATGTCAATATCTTCGATTAATTGACGATGAAGAGGATCATGAAGATGAGTGAAAATCGAAAGAAGAGTAACGAATAAAATCATCCATTTCGCCATTCGTTTACTTTTCTTTTTATCAAATTTGATTCCTTGTTTAACTGTGATCACCCGTTCGATTGAAACACAACCATCGAGCCAATCATTGATGGCTAAAAGAATTTTAATCAACGCGTCTAATAGAATACAATTGAAACGAAGAATGAACAGATTATCGTAACTTTTCAGTTGTAATAGAAGCAATTGAGAGAATTTCATTACTAATACACAGACAATGAAAATCGAAGTCCATCCGGATGCGAATAAATACAATCCACAACCAGTTGTTCGAGTGTTGTTCTCGCGAAACGTCGCAATCAATAATAATCCACCGATAAATCCCATGAGAAACATCACTGTAACGATTCCGACACTCATCTTCACAATAAATGGTTGATGAGAAAACGAAAGTTTCGGTTTAATATGATAACTGAGAATATAATCCAGAGATAAAACGAATCCTTCAGTGGTAAATTGACATTTCGTTCCATAAAAACAACCTGAACATAAACATTTCAGTGTACTCGAACAAGTTCGATTTGTTATAAAACATTTTCCATTATTTTCACACGGATTCTCGCTTTGATCACAATCATAAGTTGTGTTTCGATTGAATGAGAAACAATTGGAAAAACGATCTTCATCACAAATACACATGTAAATTTCATCGTAAAAACACATCAATTGTTTGTTTTGTCGACATAACTGCGGATAAAATTTCATTCGATAAAGATAATGAGAAGATTCATTGAGCAATTCATTGACAAACGTACATCGAGAATTGACTGATAATTTCGTTTGAATGTGTTCGAATTTGATGAATTGTTCACGTTTAACAATTAAATAGAAACCTTCTTGAAGAATTTCTACAAAAACCAAATGAAACGGATTTGTTGTCCGAATTGTCAATTGATTTTGTCCGTATTTCATTTGTTTTAAGATTGTACTATGTGAGTGATTCGATGTTTCATAAATTGTGATCAGATGAATTAAAATTGGTGAGTCCATTGCGATCTTATGGGCATTAAATTCAATGTCAATTCGATTTTGAACGTTTTCACATTGATCGCCAAAGAATTCCTCTTTACAAAGGCATGTGAAGTTATTCAAAGCAAGACGATCATCAATCGGGACACATTGACCACCATTTTTACAAGGATTTTCCGATGACTGACATACTTGACGCGTTAGAGAACATTTCGAACCAAATTTGTATAATGGACAGATGCAAATGGATGAACTAAGACAAAATGAATCGGCTGAGCAGGAGCAATTGTGTTTAAGTTGACAATTTGATCCCGAATAACCTGAATCACATTGGCAAAAGTACGACAAATTTGTGTTCGCATATTTGAGACATTTTCCATGATTTTCACATGATAATGGACACGAGAATTCAGTTTCTTGTGGATTTAAAGGAATGAGTAAATATGCGGAAATACGATTGACGGGGAGGAATGGAAAAAGTATAGGTAAATGCCAACTTGCCCAATGTGTCAATGATCTTCGATTGAATACATCGATTCGAACTGAATAATTCATTGAGGAATTTTTGGGTTGAGATGGATAAAGTAAATAGAAATTATATTTGATTCCACAATCACGTTTTGGTAAATGAATTGTTTGTTCATGATATGGGGAAATTTGTCCTTGATCATCAATAAGCATGAGGATGACTTGGAAAATGGGCATTTCATATGTGAAAGCAAAATGTTTCAATCGAAATGTCAGACTGACACGTTGATTTTGCCATTGACATCGTGGACCGAAATAAGCTGGTGGACAAAGACATTCCATTGTTTGATTATTTCGATAAAGAACGGCAAATCCTCGATTACAATACCAACTACGAACCTCATTGGCATCAAGGTAGATAAAAGTGGGTTCTTTTATTGAAACTTCCGATGATTGATTTAAAATTTCTGATTTAATCATTGGAAAATAACCTAAGCGTGATGATTGAAGAAACGGTCTTTGTCGACTTGCATAATAGGCATGCGAATCAAATCTGCATAGTATCTTGTTGTTTCTACTAAACATACAATCACCATAACGGGCACTTTTAGGATATTTAGGAATTAAGCAAACATCCTCATTCCCCGTAGATGATACAAAATGACCGTGATAAAGATGTTCCATAGTGATGCATTTCGTGTCATTCCAAAACAAATAATCAGTGACATTCTCAATAGTTTCATTTTTGAAAAATATCACACGGGAAAATGTTCGTGGATCAAATTTTGTATAATCATCAACTAAATGTGCGACGGATAAACAATGATGTATATCAGATGATTCCCATACTGTTTCTTCACAACTCAGTTCATTAGATAAACATGGACTATTTGGACAATTAAGTTCATCGATACCATTTAAACAATGTAAATACCGATCACATCGAGTGTATGGATTGTTACATGGCCAGAAATGACAGTCGGTTTCGTCATTGTCGTCAGTTTCAGTATTGTCTTTGATATTGATATAATCATTACAAAAATATCCAAATACAAATGTTTTGGGTGAGTTAACCCATTGATTATCAATACTTCCAGAAGGATTTCGCTCTTTATCAATCGATAAATAGTTCTCATTTCGAGTGGTTCTGAAACAATTTTGTAAAACACTTGGAAAAATGTTTTGAAATGAGCGCCAGTAATACATTTTGCCACGAGTTATATTCCGAGCGTTGCAACAATGCAGCCCACTACGCATTCCAATATCAACCGAACAAAACAAATAGGCTGGACATCGAGTTACATTGAAACAAACTAAATCTGGTGTCACATCATCTGATGATGGAGATATCGTTCGGTTTGTGAAATAGACAAACTGGAAAAATGAGTATAGGATTGGATATTGAGGGAAAACGAGCCATTCGAGTGGACATTGTTCGAGAGACACGTTACAATGAATCTGATTCTGTAAATGTGAAAGAAATTTGATTCGATCCGGACGAATCGAACATATGAGAAATTGTCGACAGGCGAAATTCGAAATATAATCAAATGAAGTAAAGAGAGTCATTGTCGTATGTTGATCTCGTAAATTGGAACAAAAGTAATCGAAACGAGGCATCGAGTGTAGCTTAATCTCACCATCACCACACGAAAAGTAATTATAGACTCCATATGCAATTTCTTCACATTCAAAAGTCGCAAGTCTGAAACATACATTTCCAGGTTCGAATACGACAGATTCCACTTCATCACTACCATCAAGACAATCCAAACTGTCTTCTTGATCTTTAAGAAATACTCGTGGAATACATTCTTTACTTCTTTGACATTGAAATTCATCGTTTGCACATTGATTTTGTTTTAATAAATGACAAAATTGCTCATCTGTTCCATCGACACAATCGTAAATGCCATTGCAGATCTCGCGCCAATCGAGACATATTGGTGATGGGCCACGAATACAACTAGTCAAGAATGGATAACAGGTACCAACAGGAAAGCCGCTGATATTTGGCGGTGGCGACCCACGTGCACGAAATGTGAGACGAACGAGTCGACCAAAGGAAACTTGTTTATCATCAATTAATTGATATTGACATGTCGAACCAAACCAAGGAGAGGAACAATTGTAAAAGAATTCATCGGAATACTTTCCATTGATTTCATATTCTTCTGCAATATCAATCGGAGCGAACCAATCCAATAATTGCGAACTTGTAATTCCATTTCTTGATAAATCTTTAAAACTGATCTTATTTTGAACATTTTCATCGGGAATGGAAACTAATGTTTCACTCTCGTTCAATCGTCGACAATAAGGAACAAGATGATACAAGGTAAGATAAGCTCCATTCTTGGTTTCATAGGAATATTGTATATGAGAATATAAACAATCGAACGTTTGTTTATTATTCGATTGATAAAACGAATAACGAGTAGAACATGTTCGATAAGTCGAAAGAAATATGAACAATTGTATGAGTTTCATTCGTCAATGAATCCAATCAAATGAAAGTAATGCATCACCTGTTGATTGTTTTTCTTTTTTTAAAAACATCAAACATCTGCTTTTCCGCTCATTTTCCTGTTGTATATTTGAGAAAAACTACATCCATGCAGATTATTAACGTTTGATTTCAAATTCCCCATTGTCATGGATTTTATCCGAGGCGTATCCCTACCGGAAATTTCAAAATGAGATGTCGAGAAACGAAACAGATTGTTTTGTTTTATCTTTGTTGTGATCATGATATGGTTGAATCCATCGCAGAGAGAAGAAAAAAAGCCGAGTATCGATAGAATTATATACTTAAAGTAACATATGTTTTAGATCAACATTGGTTCTTTGAATGCTTTGGTCTTTATCAGTTATTCAGATTTCTCTTCATACGAAATCGTTTGCGTCGTTTAGTGAAAAGAAAACGCTGGACAGCTTACGATGATTATGAAAGGTTTCGAATCAATACAACTGATTCGAAATTCGTCCGCATAGAAAAACTAATGAGAGAAACAATGAAATATTTAAAAAAATGTCCCTAAGAAATGAAAAATACATCGTATTCATGTGCGAGTTGTTCTTATGAATTAGCAAATGACCAATATCAGATATTTTTAGCCCAAATTCTAACTGAAGACGTTGATGATTATATGAATTTGCTTCGACCACTAAAGAAAAACGAATCAACAGCGGATCTACGGTATAGCAGTGTATCAAATGACACAAATAATAGTCAAGTCTACATTGTTTATGAAAATCGTGTGACTTATCTGATTACATTTGCTCCATCGACGAGAAAATAGATTCATTTTTCGTTTTTTCGTTTACTCATACTTATCAAATAGTGACACACACAATACCGTCGTCCAAAAAATGCGCCATGGAAACATCACGCGTTGAATACCTGTACAACATATGGATGACCTTCTGTTTCCCGTTGTGTATGACACAAAACGACAGTTACAGTTACATCTCTTTATGAGAAAGAATTACCAAAGCTAATTTATAATCAAAATCGACTAAATTGACTTCTTTCATCGATCTTCATTCTCAAACTTCGAACGTTCTCCCGACAACCTCATATTCACCCTGAGATTTATTTTCTATTTCAAAAGTTTATCATATAGGCCTTGCTTTTGCTCTCATAATTACACTGATCGATACATTACACCTTTCACATACATCCTCAGTACGACTCGATGATATTTCAGCGTTAAATCGTTACTGGGCGAATTCATCGAGTCCAACATAAAAATTATTGGATAATAAGTGTCGAGAAAATATGACATATGATCGATAGACCTGCGTAAAGACCAATCAGAGCCAGAACGTCTTTCATGACATCATTTTGATTATCTTTTAAATAAACACAGAGTGCTGGTCCACATTGACGAAAATATGATTCATACGATATGTTGTTCGTGAATTCTTCAACCATTAATTGATTCAACTGCAGTATTCAGAGCAAAACGATTTGCATTAACCAAAGAAATATCCAATACTTTGAAATTGCCAGTTGAATTGATACAGTTTGGGGAAAAAAGACATTGAAGTATTGATTGAAGGATAGTTTCGAGTGGATAGCAACCAGAAAACATACCACGAGATAGTAAAACACATTTGAGCAATAATGCACAATCGCATTTTTCATACTTAAGTGGTACAGGAAAAGACAATAGTTCATGCGTTATTCTGGATCGAGTACCGATCATCCAATTCGTCAGAAACACGCTAAACAACATATTTGCTGCGGTTATTTCTCGAATGAATGAAAGAGCATTGAGAAATCAAGTTGGTATTATTGAAAGGCATACTCACATCTTCATCTAGTTGGATCCACCCTTTTACTAATACAAATAAGAAACGTAAACGATGCTGTTGAGAGATTTCGTCACAATGTCTTCTCACTTGGCCATATTTTTTATTTCTGCATAACGTCAACACCACCACTCTTAGATCAAAGTATACGGCAGATGAATTTTCAAGTCTCTATTATTTTCTTTCGATAAGATATTACTCGAAGAAAATTTTTATTGGTATCTTTTTGTGGCTTCGCATCGCATTTATGGACAACATCAATAAGCAACTTTCAAAACATACTGTCCATCCGAAAGAATTAAACACATCCATCGACGAAATGATTTGAAAAAACTTTTGCTCGTTCAACTTTGAATTGAAACATTTACTGAAAACAAAACGTGTCACTACGACGTGTACTCAACTTTAAACCTGATATTTCTTTCTGATTCGTTTCTTTTCTTAATCGTTATTACTTTTATAACACCTTACACTTCATTAGCAGTCTTTGCCACTAGCGTAAAGACATAAAAAAAGTAGATGTATTATTAAACAAGCAAAAAAGAAACGAATAAGGCAATGAGAGAAACCTTACAAAATTTCAAGTTTTGTATACTTTATTCTTTATATGATGATGATTGACAAACGAAAGCAAAAGAACGCACGATCGAACGAAAGAGAGGGGAAATAGTGGCAAAGAAATATACAGAAAAAATATTAAAAACAACAAACGTTATTGATGATGAAAATAAAAAAACTGATTTCAATTCACATATTACATACGTATTTAACCAGAAAAAGCCTACTGGATATATATTGGTATGGACAATCTTCTCATTTCCGAAGATCTCTATGGACGAAATTTAAATCATTTTGAAGATGATGATTTCATTGATCGTCTTAATAATCGATACACAATAATGGCATTAATGTTATGTATTTTTATAATTACAGGGAGTCTCTATGTTGGCGATCCGATTAACTGTTGGACACCAGGTAAATTTGGGTATTACTAATTTATGCAAACAGCACAAACACCCAACTTTTCTAACCACTAAGAGAAATAAACCGTCAACAAGTTCGAAAAAATCACCCATCTCAACACTAACACCCAATAGCTCTCTTATTATCGCGACAAACACCCAAATGGTCTTATACAAACACCCACAGAACTTCATGATCTACATTTTGACTCTATTAAGTGCCATCCCCAAACACGTTTTAACGATGAAATCTGCTAGAAACATGTGAAATCGGTATATAAGCATATTTAGAGACCTACTAACACTCAAAAACTTTGTCATAGTTCAGACAAACATCATAACAAGTCTTCACACATACTCACACCAACACCCTCACCCACACCCTCAAGATGGTAATAACGATGATTCGATAAAACTTCTTTTTGGCTGATCCCAGGGGTGGGGTAGGGGACTAATTATCGGTAAAAAAAAATGTCAAAAACACCATGTGAATTTTACTGATTCTAACTCAGTTTTTTATGCTGATTCCGAATATGCCCCTAGTTTTTACATAAGCCCAGAATATTCTGTCGTAATCGATGAAATATGGTCCTAAATATGCTAAGAAATGAGGTGTGAGAGGCTAGGTAATACGTGGTTCATCTTTTTTCGTCTTCAGAACGTGTTACTATGATAGGGGATGAAAAATTATGTAAACTGTAGAAGTTTCCAGTGGTTCCACGTTCTCTTTTGACATAAGGCTATATGAACTATCGATAAAGATATATAAATATCTCATAATGAACACCCTACGAGCCTGTTGTGGAATATATGGGACCAAGTTGTGTTCGAAACTCGTAGGGGTGTTGACGAGAGTGTGTGTAAAGACGTGTTATGATGTTTGTCTGAACTATGACAAAGTTTTTGAGTGTTAGTAGGTCTCTAAATATGGTTATATACCGATTTCACATGTTTCTAGCAGATTTCATCGTTAAAACGTGTTTGNAGTGAAAACACACAGCTGCAGTTGCAATTTATGATGTAATATGCGTATGTTTTAGGGAGAGGAGTTGGTTTGGCGTATGCTTGTTATACTTTTTAGGGAGGTAGCTTGTTTTGCTTAACATAAAAAATACTCGTTGTTTTATTTAGGAAAATCGAAGATTTATTTCCATTGGTCGAGTGTCAAAGTTTTCAATGAAAGTTCATTTATTGAAAACGCTAAAAACAATCATTTCAGCCATTATCGTTAGAATTACATTTGTAAAGTATCTAAAAGAGAAACATATGGTTAAGTATTTGTGTTTGTCCGTTTTATCTCATTATCATCGAGTCAATAAAGTTGGATCTCTCAACTTCATTACAAAAGCATTGAATTTGTTGAAATAGCTTCCGAACGAGAATTTGTCTATGAAAGAGAAAAGAGCACATTTCGATATATGACTTAGATGAGATTAGATTCGTTTCAAGTTTCAATAAAAGAAAAAGACGTGAATGGGTTGGTTTTAATTCGTTTATGACCTTCGTTGTGCTCGTATAGAAGAATAAAACAAACAAAACAGCGTTATTTTGATATTCATTCGGAGAAAAAGAAAAAAGAATGCCGAGTGGAACATTAGAAGTGATCGTTGTTGAAGGACAAGATCTGAAAGATAAAGATGTAATGGGTCAAAATGATGCTTTTGTGAAAATTTATATTGATAAAAAATATAAACAATGAACAACAACAATATTAAATACAAATAATAATCCAATTTGGAATGAACGTTTTACTTTTAATTTACAAAAAAATGATGAAATAATTCATTTTGATATTTATAATATTGATTGGAAATTGTAAAATAAAACTTCAACATGTTTTTGATGATGGAAAATATGATGAATAGATCAAATTACCTTCGATGTTTGGTCTTTCATCAAAAGGACAAATTCATATTATTATGAATTTTATTGTAAAAATATTTCAAAATAATATTTCTTAATTAAATTTCTTTTTTAACCATCGTAATCACAACTTATCAAAATGAAAAACTTAAATTTCTTTCTTTCAATTTTCTTTCATTTCATTAAAATTTATCCAATAGGCCAAAAACTTGGTGATAAAACTTTATTAATTGTATTATTTTGTTCAGTTAATGTCCAAAAACGAGGTATTTGATCAATACTATTCCATGTCCAAATACCCCATCCATTAAATTGATAATTAAAACTATCAATAATGACTTTTTTGATTGCTAAAGCAGCAATTGATGCATTTGAGAAATCACCTGTATAAGCACCTGTTTCTCCCATTAGAATTGGTTTTTCA